ATTTACCACTAATCTTTGCCACATTGTTTGTTTTACTTTCAGTTTGATATTGTTCTTGACCCTGATTTTACAAAATTGGTCAATTTATCCCCTTCCTAGAATCATTCTTCAGGATATATCTCTGATTCAGGAACCTTTTAAAAACATTTGCCAGTATTCATCAACTGTCATTTCTGCTAACTTCCCTTCCCAGTTCACTCCTGCCAACTCTGTCGTCATCCCTATGTAATTGGCCTTATTTACATTTATCCTAGATGTTTCCAATCCATGTTTCTCACTCAGTGAATGCTAAATTGTTACCCTTGGGAACAATGACCACAAGCAGGTTTTCTGAGATTAATTTATTAAACCTAGCTCATTACACATTACCAGATACAAAATAGCCTGATCCTTTGGATCCACAACACGTTATTCTAGAAAACAATCCTGAATGCCCTCCTATGAATTCTTGATGCAAAGTTGCTCACTAAGTATTTAATCTCTCGTGGCTTGAGATAAAGGGTATTTTTAACAAGCCTATCAGAGAAATTACTATCAGCTGCAACAATGGATTTACATGCCCCCCCCCCCCCAATCTTACTCCACTAAAATCCAAAGAGGTGTAAAAATGTTGACAGGATATAGCCAGTGTGCGCCTGGTGAACTGTCCTTGGGACAGTTTTTTTGTTTCAAATTTTAAAAGCTGCTCTCTTTAAATTGTGTGATAGGCAGGTTATTTCAACATTGGCAACAGACTGAGTTTTGAAAGGAATCATGTACACGTTTTATTTCCAGATCAGTGGATTGTGCCAGAAAAATGGGCCCAGAAAAACTAAACGTCCAAACGTATCTGAATATGAGCGGCTTGATCAGAATTTAAGTGATATAATTACCAGTCTGCAAAAGAAAAACATTGACTAAAAAAGAAAATTTGTTATAAAACCTCAGGTATGTTTTTTTTTTTCAAATGTTGTCTTCCATAAGGCTTTGAAGTTTCATTTTGACCTGATGATTAATGCTGATGCTCAATGAATGCATTGCGGTTCGTTTTATTCATTACTAATGTTTGGAGACTTGGGACCTAATTTATTTTGCAGTATTGTAGTGGTGCATTTAGAAAGCATATTGCTAGTCTGGGATTGATTTACATCCTGTAGATTTTTTTTTTGTCTGGAAGTTCATGCTGCTTGGCTTTAGGAAACAGTAAGAGAAAAAGTTTGACATCAAAGCAACATTTTATATATGGCATCAAGGAGCCCAAGCAAAATTCTTATTCAATTGGAACTGGGGGACGACACTCCCCACAGTTGGAGTCATACATAGCACAAAGGAAGATGACTGGCTGAAGGTTAATCATCTCATTCCAGGACAGTACTATTGCATTCCTCTGGATAGTGTCCTTGGCTCAACTATCAGCTGCTTCATCAATGATCTTCCCTCCATCAGGTTGTACTTGGGGATATTTATTGATTGCACAACGTTCAGCACCATTCTTTGCTACTCAGATTCTGAAACAGCCAGAGTTCATGCTGGACAACACTCGGGCTTAGCCTGCTAAGTGCCTGGCAATGACCACCTCCACCAAGACAATCTAAGTATCTCTTAATATTCAGTGTCATTATGATTGCTTACTGTCTCCAATATCAACGTCAAGCACTTTACCATTGGTCAGAAATGGAACTGGACTAACTTTATAAATGCTGTAGTTGCAAGACCATGTCAGAAGCTGTGAATTCTGTGGTGAGTATCTCACCTTGGTCGCCCCAAAACCTGTCCCCAATCTTGAAGTCAATCAGGTATGTGATGAAATAATCTCCACTGACCTGGATGGTAGCAACAACATCAATTCAACACCATCCTGGATGAAGAAGCTGCTTGATTTGGCAGCCACTTGACCACCTTTTACTCACTTCATTCACCTATGCACAGTTGCAACAGTGTTTTTTAATTCACAGGATGAGGGCATCGCTGGCTAGGCAACATTTATTGCCTATCCTTAATTGGCCAGAGGGCAGGTGAGAGTCACCCTCAAGTCTTGTCACATGTAGGCCAGACCAGGTGAGAATGGCAGTTTCCTTCCCTAAAGGGCAGTAGTGAACCAGGTGGGATTTTACAACAATTGATAATGGATTCATAATTATCATTAGAGAAGATATTTAGTGAATTCAAATTCCACAATCTGCTGTGGTAGGATTCAAACCTGGGTCCCCAGAATGTTATCTGGATCTCCGGATCAACAGTCCAGCGATAATACCACTAGGCCATCGCCTCCCATGTGTATCTATCTACAAGATGCGTTGCAGCAACTCACCAAGGTTCCTCTGATAGCACCTTGTAAATTTGCAGAATACCAGCTAGAAGGTTCAGGGCAGCAAATACTTTGACTGCTACCTGTGGTTTTCCTCCAAGTCTGATGACATCCTTACTTAGAATTACATGACCACTCTCTTACTGTTGTGGTGTTGTAATGCTGAACTCCCTAACAGTGTTGTGAACTGTCTACCACAGTGGTTCAAGAAGATAGCTCACCACCTTCAATGGCAATTAATAATTGATAAATGCTAGTCTAACCAACAACATCCACATCCATGAACAAATTAGAAGGCATGTTTACTTTTTCTGGACCCAGCAAAAGTGTTAAAGATGCAGTTTTGATGTCATCTGAAATTCTTATCCTAGTTTTTCTTTGTAATTACCCTTTAAATCATCTATTGTGGCAAACTGCCACAGCTGCTTTGGTAATAATTGAGATTAAGTAAACTTTACCAATCATGACTGTCAATGAACTAAAGCTTTCAGTTCCTGAATTTTGCCTGTTACATCAAATTGGGATTTGTGGGTGGAAAAAGAAAATTACCTCACTGGCTGGAAAACTTTCAGTTAATTTCTTAAAAGTCAAAGTATTTGATTAGCAAGTAACTTCATACACAACTGCCTTCACCAGCATCCTTTCTCATTGGATGAGACCTCTTCTACTGGCCAATGTGAGTAATGTTAGCACGGGCTACATCAATATTTTTAGAAGCTTTACGTCCTGAAGTGAGCTAGCCAGGATTCTGAGGCAGATGGCCTGGACTTTTTTTAATACTTAAACAGGGTTCTGAAAGCAGTTTTTTTTAAATAGTTTTGGAGGCACGAATGGAATGGAGTGAAATTAATCTAATGCTTTGCTATGTCTTGTCTTTCATCAGGTTTACAACATTGCTTCAAAATGCTTTGAAGTCCCTGCCTTAAATCTGAAATGTGATGAATAAAGAAGGCAAAGCAGTTTTTTTAATTGTTTCATTCCAAATTTGAGATTTCAGCTCTCCTTGCTGGTGAATTATTATTTGGGAGAAATGCACGTTAAATAGTGCACAGCTAATATCAGAAGTGCCTCATATCCTGTGCTTTAAAACTTGATCTATTTTGTTTCAGTATTACTTTGCACAATTTGTCTCAAATCTGTTGTGGAACTTTAAAATGTAATTTGTTTGCAGAGCTGATGTGTTTCATACATGCATTTATAAAACTGATTCTTCAAGATGCAGTGTATTTTTTTAATGATTGAAGTAAACTTGATGTTTCCAAGACTTGCAAGAGTTTTGTGATCTGATCTAATTGTACACTGGATCCAAAGCCACAGTATAATTTACCATTTACATCTACAAATGAAAACTGAATACTTATGATTTTAGCTGTCTAAATGTTTCAAGAATCATGTCCATCATTTCTACTCAAATTTTTAACTTTTGATGGAATACAATTTTAATAATTTATCAGTCACTGGCAGTGAAAATGTGACAAACCTATTTTTGTGTATATTCAATGAAATCATTACATTTTTGATTTTGCCATGATTTGAGCATATTTGCCATATCTTGTAGCTGTAGCAAAAGGAACATGTTAGAATAAGTGTGAGACTTGGTTAAATCAGCTGGTTCTATTCATTTTCCAAAAATGTCAGTCAGGCGAGGCAATGCTGAGTGGGGCACAGTAACAATGAATTGTTAACAGTCAACAGAAACTTAGCAAAATGTCATTACACGAGTGATGATGCTGTGAGCTCACCACAAGATGTAGGAGCAGAAGTAGGCCTTTCAGCCCCTCCAGTCTGCTCAACTGTTCAATGAGATCATTGTTGATCTGATAATCCTCCACTCCAAATTCCTGCTTTTTTTTTCCCCCCCCTGTAATGCTAGATTCCCTGACTAATTAAAATCTATGCATCTGGCCTTCCTTCAGCCCATCAGCTATTGAGGTCTTGAGGCAAAACTTTGCTGTCTCCAAACCTGATTCTTTTTGACCAGTCCACTGTTTTCCACCTTCAATAAACTCCAGCCAATTCAAAGAGCAGCACATCCTTTCCTATCCTGAACATAAAGGTTGGTTCATCCATCACCTTCTATTCTTTCTGATGTATACAAGTTCAGCTTGCAGTTGAAAATGATAAAATTATCATTCTTGTATGAAGTCCTTTACTGCCTCACCCTTCCTGATGACCTTTAATAGGACAGTTTCTGTTGTATGTGCTCCACCATTAATAGCTGGTTCTTCAGTCACCCAGTGCCCAGTTGACCACCTCATTTAGATTTTGAACCCACCTCCTAATATTCCAATGAATCAGAGTCAGCTTGTGACTAATGGGAGCATTTAGAAACTATATTGAAGCAAATTGCATATTTCTGAAGAAGTCACACTGGGACTTAAAACCTTAACTCTGTTTCTCTCTCCACAGATGCCACCAGACCTGAGGTTATTTAAAATTGTGTTTATTTAATTCACACATTATGCACATGACACCCTCTGTGGTTGCCTGCTGTAAATGTACTCTCAGCCCCTTTATATGATGTGATAAAGGAGCAGTGCTTTGAAAGCTTGTGATTTCAAATAAACCTGCTGGAGTACAACGTGGTGTCGTTTGACTTCTGACCATCTACTTTATGAAGTAGGAGCTTTTACTGAAGCGGAGCTGGTTTTTCATTGCAAAAATATACTTTATTCATAAAAAATGATCAATATTCATAAGTACTAAAGCAGTTCTATACAGCCTTTGGGTATCAAGGAAAAATAAACGTTGAAATTTGACATTCCTTGAAGTTGCAAAAACGAAAGGCATTTCTTACTCAAGCAAAACACTATTTGCATACACTGAAGCAATGAGGGTTCTGACAACTGAACAGAGCTTCGACATATTTCGGAAGAAAGACCTTAGAGAGTGGGCTCTCCCCACTGAGCTTTGGCGGTAGCTGCCCGAAACTTTAGAGCGCCCGTCGGCACCTAGTCCTGGACCTTGGAAGGGGTCAGTTTGCAACTGAAGGTTTGACTGAAAATCGTCTGCTTGCCAAACCTTCGCTCTGAGCAGTCTGCAACAAAACAAAATGCCCCATTTTCCCCAGAGGTCGAAAATTTAACTCCCTGTTGGCGGGGAAAGGGGAATTGAATTTTCTGAAAGTAGGTTGTTGGTGATTAGTTGGAAATTCCCTGTTCGCCGGGACAATGAGGCATTCCCGCACTGGAAACACCCTCGGAGTTCACAGTAACTTGATCCAGTCCGGGAACTCCGAGTGGGGAAAAAAAGGGACTCCACCAAATCCTGGAATCGGAGCCTTTTTATTTTGGCTGAACAATTTTCAAATCTGTGGATACTTCAGTCACCAGCCAGCGGGCGGTGCTGGTCACTTGGAGCCTTCAGTTTCAGCTCCAATCATTTCCTGAACTCTCAGTCTCGATACATTTTGTAGCATTTATCACCAGCCAACCAACTGTAGAGGAGTTTGCTTCCTGTTCTTTCGAGCTTGTGGCGACTCTAATCGTTTAGGCCGAAGGTACGAGTAAAACTTTGCACCTTTTTTCCCAAGTGTTTAATTCAATCTTGGATCCGCGCACTATAAACAAAACATTTCTTTTTTTAAAAAAATGAAAATTATGCCACCGCGTCTCACAAATTCTGGCTCAGCCTTCAGACCATCATTCTCTGTTTGACGTGGTGATCTATGGGAAAAAGAAACTTTCAAAATGTTGATCGGTGTAAAGGATGGAAATATTTTTCGCGAGTAAATACAACAGAGTGGAGCGGTCATGTGTTTTCTACAATAGGAGTTGGAAAAACTCGGTGAAATCTACATAGATTTCTAACGTGCTTTCGGTTTCTAATCTTGTCTTTACAAAAATGTTTTCTGTATAGCTTTTTATTTAAACAACTGATGGTGGAAGAAAGACTAATTGGAGCTGATCAATTGAGAGATGTGATTTAACTGAGTGGAGATTAGGGACCTATTACATTGGCATTTGATCCATTTTTGTCAATCATAAGATTCACCCAACTCCTAAAAGCTGATTACACAACCTCTCTAACTGCAGTCCATTGTACCAAATATTAATAGAAACAGCTGTCCCCTTTAAATATGAAAGTAACTTCCTTTTTTTAACCCTAAGCTGGCACTGATGGATTCCTGTTACCCAATTTCCTCTTTTTTTTCAAAAGTAATTGTAACATGCAACTGAGTTCTAACTTAAATGGAATAAAAGCAAAATACTGCAGGTGCTGGAAACCTGAACCAAATCGAAAATGCTGAAGAAACTCAGCAGGTCTGGCTGCATCTGTTGGCAGAGAAGCAGACTTCTTCAGAACTGCAGTCGAAACGTTAACTGTTTCTCTCCCAACAGATGCGACCAGACCTGCTTATAGTGTCATAGAGGTTTGCAGCATGGAAACAGGCCCTTCGGCCCAACTTGTCCATGCCACCCAGTTTTCCACAATTAAACTAATCCCATTTGTCTATGTTCGGCTTATATCCCTCCATACCCATCCCATCCATGTACCTATCCAAATGTTTCTTAAATGACAAAATTGTATTCTCCTCCACCACTACCTCTGACAACCCGTTCCAGACACTCGTCACCCTCTATCTGCCAAATTGCCCCTCTGGACCCTTTTGTATCTCTCCCCTCAACTTAAACCTAAGCCGTCTAGTTTTAGACTCCCCTACCATGGGGAAAAGCTGTTGGCTGTCTACTTTATCTATGCCTCGCATAATGTTATAGACCTCTAGACAGTCAACCCTCAGTCTCCTACACACCAGGGAAAAAAGTACCAGACTATTCAATCTCTCCTTATAATTCAAACCTTCCAGTCCAGGTAGCTTCCTAGTAAATTTTTTTCTGCACTCTTTCTATTCTAATAATATCCTTTCTGTAGTCGGACGACCAGAACTGCTTGCAGTACTCCAAATGTAGCCTTACCAATGTCTTGTACAGCTGCAACATCTTGTTCCAGCTCCTATAGTGAATGCTGTGATCGATGAAAGCAAGCATGCCGAAAGCCACCTTCACCACCCTGCCTACCTGTGACTCCGCTTACAAGAAGCTATGAACTTTTCCCCCTCAGTCTCTTTGTTCTATAACACTCCCCAAGGCCCCACCTTTGACTGTGTAAGTCCTGCCCTCGTTTGACCCACCAAAATGCAACATCTCGCATTAAACTGCATCTGCCATTTCTAAGCCCACTGGCCTAGTTGATCAAGATCTCGCTGTATTCCAACATAACCCTCTTCACTGTCCACTATACCGCCAATCGTGGTGTCATCTGCAAACTTACTAACCATATCTCCCAAACTGTCATCCAAATCATTTATGTAAATGATGAATGACGGTGGACCCAGCACTGATCCTGTTGCACACCACTGGTTGCAGGTCTCCAATTTGAAAAGCAAGATTCTATTACCATCGTCTGTCTTCTACCTTCAAGCCAATTTTGTATCCAATTGGCTAGCTCTCCCTGGATCCCATGAGATTTAACCTTAACAACACACCATGCAGTAGCTTGTCAAAGGCCTTGCTAAAGTCCATGTAGACAATGTCTACTGCACTGGCCTCATCTATTTTCTTAGTCACCCCTTCAAAAAACTCAATCAAATTTATGAGACATGATTTCCCATCCACAAAGCCATGCTGACTATCCCAAATGAGTACTTGACTCACCAAATGCCTGTAAAACCTACCTCTCAGAAACTCCTCTCACAACTTACCTACCACAGACATTAGGCTTACCAGTCTGTATTTCCCAAGTATTTCCCTGCAGCCTTTCTTAAATAATGGCACAACATTACCAACCCTCCAGTCTTTGGGCTCTTTACCCACGACTGTCAAAGATACAAATATCTCTGCTAGGGATCCCACAGTTTCCTCCCTACCCTCCAACAAAGTCCTGGGATACGCTTCCTGTACTTTTGTACTTAAGTACACGTTACAACAAAACCTAATCTAATTCATCGGGTCCCAGAGATTTATCTACCTACTGCGTTTTAAGACTTCCAGCACCTCCTCTTCTGTAATGTGGAGTTTCGCCTGCTGAGTTTCTCCAGTGTTCTGTGTTTGTCATAGCAAATAGTATTGTTAAATGTGGAAATATTGAAGCGGTCAGGTGTTAAAGATTATTTCAGAATTAGTTTTCAGCAGTCATTAAGTATACAACTTATTCATACACTTGTTTTAAGGTCCCATAATTTTAAATGGTACATGTGAAAAGTAAGTTATTCAGTTCCATAAATGCGGTCTGTAATTATAATGATATTAGAAAAAATACACAGTTATTTTTGTAGAAATTCATTTCCTGAATTTCTGAGAAAGTTTTCACAGGCAAGTATTTATCAAATCTGACAAGAACTGCAAAAGCAAATAACTAGCACACCTCTTTTGTAGTCGGTGTCAAATGTTTTTACTGGGAATGTGTAAAAGCACACTAAGTAAGATTTCAGTCCTATATCTTTTAAGAGCAAGAGAATAGAGTTTGGTCTCAAAGTCCAAAAAGGTAACCTGTGTCTAGAGGTGGAAGATAGGGTGCAATTCATATATAACACTTTGCATCTGTTTTCACAAAATAGAAGCACAGAATCCCTACAGTGTGGATGCAGGCCATTCGGTCCATCAAGTCCACACTAGCCCTCCGAAGAGCATCCCACCCAGACCCACTGCCCTACCCTATCCTGATAACTCTGCAATTCCCATGGCCAATCCACCCAACCTACACATCCCTGGAGACTATGGGCAATTTAGCACGTCCAATCATCTAGCCCGCACATCTTTGGACTGTGGAAGGAAACCGGAGCACCCAGAGGAAACCCACACAGACACAGACAGAATGTGCAAACTCCACACTGTCGCCCAAGGGTGGAATCAAACCCGGATCCCTGGGCTGTGAAAAGAAACCAGGAAGGAAATAGCGAAGGTGTGACCATTGTTTTCCAGTTTTTAATGGATAGTTGTGTGGTCCTGGTATATTGGGTGATTGTTAATACTGTATCTTTGTTCCCAAAGGGAGTGAGAGATAGATTACAGGCCAGGTAGTTGAACCTCAAATTGGCAAATTATTGGAGTCAATTCTGGGGAAAAGATAAACTGTCACTTAGAAAGGCAAGGATTAATAAAGGATAGCCACATTGATTGGATAAGGGAAGATCATGTCTGATTAACTATTCCATTTTTTTGAGGTAACAAGGAGGACTCCTTTAAAAAAAAATCCATGGGATCCAGATCAACTTTGCAAGCTTGCTACAAAACTAGTTCATTGGCAGAAAACAAAGGATAACTAATAGTACTTTTGAGTGTTTCCGGTGAGGTTCTGCAGGGCTCTGTAATAGATTGCCTATTTGTGGGTTTTTCTAACAAATTGGACAAAAATGTAGGGGCATGACCAAAGTTTGCAGATGGCAGAAACATTGGCAGCATGGTTGTTAGTGAGGAAGATAACTGTAGATTGCAGGAAGTTATCAATGGCTGCTCCAGTGGACAGATGAGTGATAAATGGAATTCACTCTGGAGAAGTGGGCACGGTGGCATACTGGTTAGCACTGCTGCCTCACAGCGCCAGGAACCTGGGTTCGATTCCACCCTCAGGCGACTGTCTCTGTGGAGTTTGCACATTCTCCCCGTGTCTGCATGGGTTTCTTCCAGGTGCTCCAGTTTCCTCCCACAGTCCAAAGATGTGCAGGCTTGGTGGATTGGGCATGCTAAATTGCCCGTAGTGTTCAGGGATGTGTAGATTAAGTGGGTTATAAGGGGAAGGGTCTGGGTGGGATGCTCTGAGGTTCAGTATGGACTTGTTGGGCCGAAGGGCCTGTTTCCACACTGTAGGGATTCTATGATGATGATGATGATGATGATGATTCTATGATGAGTGAGTGAAAGTCACCGCCCTTGACATACAGGCAACATTTAACCAAGTATGGCATCAAACATCCTGAAGAAAACTTGAGTCAATGGGAACTGGGGTGGAAGAGGATCTCTCTGCTGTTGGAGTCACACCTAGCACAAAGACAGATGATTGTGGTTGTTGGATGTCAATCATTGCCGCTCGGGGTCATAATGCAGTTCCTCAGAAGTGTCCTAGGCCCAACATCTTCAGCTACTTTATCTATGATTTTTTTTATCATAAGGTTGAAAGTGAGGATGGTGTCTGCAATACTCAGCATCATTTGCGACACCTCAGGTGCTGAAGCAGTCTATGTCCATATGCAGTAAAAACTGTATAATGTCTAGGTTTAGGCTGGCCAGTGGCAAGAAATATTTGCACCACACAAGTGCCAGGCAATGACCATCTACAGTAAGAGAATTTAAACATTGCTCCTTGATATTCAATGGCATTGCCATCACTGAATCCCCTACCATTAACATCCTAGGGGTTACCACCAACAGAAACTAAATTAGACCAGCCATGTACATATAGCCTCTACAAGAGCATGTCTGAGACTAGGAATCCGGTAGTAAATAACTCACCCCCTATCTCCCAAATGCCAGTCCGTCATCTACAAGGCACAAGTCAAGAATCTGATGGAGTACTCTCCATTTGCCTGACTGAGTGCAGCTCCAATAATACTTAAGAAACTTGGTACCGTACAGGACAAACATGTCTGCTTGATTGGCACCCTATCCATTACCTTGAATATTCACTCCCTTCACAACAGATACACAGCGGCAGCAATGTGTACCATCCACAAGTTTCACTGCAGCAACTCACTGAGGTTCAGTGCAGCAGATACATGGGAGCACCACCACGTACACATTCCCCTTCAAGCCACGCATAATCCTAACTTGGAATATATGTCACCGCTCCTTCATTGCTGGGGAGAGTTCTTGAAACTGCCATCCTAACAGCACTATGCACGCCCTACTCCCCAAGGACTTTTGTGGCTTAGGAAGGCAGTTCATTGTCATCATCTCAAGGGCCATTAGGGAGGGGCAATAAATGTTAGCCAAGTTAACGCTTACATTCCATGAACAATTTTTTTTAAGAAGTGTGGCCGTGCATCTGTGTGGTCAAAAAAGGCAAAGGAGTACACGTCATACTGAGAGGTGTAGAAAAAGCACTGGATTATGGGGTAAATGTCCCCAGCTCCCTGGAGGTAACAGGATAGGTTAATAAGGTGGCTTAGAAGGCAGAAGGAATCTTTTCCTTTTGTCAATCAAGGTTTGAATATCAGCGCAGGGATGTTATGCTGGAACTTTGGAAGTTTTTAATTAGGCAATGGCTTGGCTAATGTGTGTAGTTCTGGGCATCTCATTACAGAAAGGATGTAATTACACAAGAGAGAGGGGATAGGGAAAGTTTACAAGAATGTTCCCAGGACCAGAAAAATGCAGTTTAGGGGAACGATTGGATAAGTTCCTTAGAACAGGGAAGGCTAAGGAGAGATGTGATATACCTAATTGTGAATTGTCTGGATAGAATGGATGAGGAGGGTCAGTGATTTGGGCATAGATTTAAAGTGATTAGTAGAAAGATTAGGAAGAAAATTGTTTCACCCAGAGGGTGGCAGGGAGTCTGGACTTCATTTCCTGAAAGGATAATAGAGGCAGAAACCTACAAATCTTTTAAAAGATATCTGGGCATACGCCTACAGTGTCGTAGGGCTACCTGCCAAATGGTAGAAAGTGGGATTAGACCGGGTTTCTTGCAGTTTGGTCAGCACAGACGGTATGCCAAGTGATTTAGTTCTGCGTCATAAACCTTCTGATTTGGTGTATATGCATGCCTGCAAGATAGTCGGAAGGACATTGCACAAACAAGAAAGTGATTTCTAGAAGCATCTGGCTTCCTTCGATAATCATTCATTTAGATTGATCTGAGGTATAAAGGTTAAGAATATTACAGTTCCACAAGGTCAAGCTTTTCATCTCAATTCAGTTAATCTATTCAGAAGGAGGTCTTGTGGTGCTGTGGCAGCATCCTTGTCTCTGACTCAGAATCTATAAGAATCTGAGAGAAAGCAGAGAGATGGAGGCAGCAAGTCTCTAATTCTCATCACTCAGAATGCAGATGTGATCTCATACTTGGATTGACTGTCAGTAAAATTTTGCCCAGCAAAGAAGCTTTGGCTTCAGGCAAAATGGAGAAGAAAGTAACTGATGAAAAAAAAGTTTTAATAAAATGTTTGAATTTATGTAATAACCCTGTGTGTTCTTCACACACCAGAGATTAGGGTCAGAAATTAAATGTGGCGTTATGCTGGTGGTATCATTCACAGACTAGGTCCAGGAAAGGGAGTAATCTCTCTGGCTGCATGTTGTACTGTATCCAGTGACCAAGAAGCATGAGAGTAAATGGCCTGTTAAAGTTAAAATAATGATCATTGAGATTATTCAAATTTCAATTAAGATCATTTTTGTCATGGACCAAGTCCTGGAAGTAGTCTTGCATCAATTGACTTTAACACCCTTTGGAACCAATTTACTTTAATGATTTGTAAGTTTTAGATCTTTGCATATCCAAAAACAGCTCACATCAATTTTTTTTAATATTGTTGTTTGCATACTATTGTATGTTTTAGCCTTTTTGGTTTCTTAAAATTACTTCCTGCTTGTGGCTGTCCACTGAGGATTTATTCTCGCACTGTTGTATACTAAACTGCAAGTGTAACAAACAAGTTCTAAACTGCTGTTTAGAAATTGACGTATTCATATTGTATACTGCTGTAGTAACAAGGATGAAGAAGAAATGGTGTTTGGTGCGATTATTTCTCACATTGTTTGTTAAATACATGGCTCTTTGCAAGGAAAATCAAAAAGTACTATAGACCTCATAGCTGCAGGATATTTGCAGTGAATTTCTTACCTGAAGCCATCTTCTAAGCTATCTTCCCATTTTCTGTATTACGTAAAATTGATATAAAGAAACAACCTCCAAACAAGAGAACAAAGTACAAACTCATCATGTTTTAAACAGACTCTGTAGCTGTTTAAATCTGTCAAAAAACAGCAACTGCCACAAAGAACAAATGTCCTGAATGGCTACTTAATTTGATTTGCATTGGTGGGTTAAAACAACCATAAATCAAGATATAGAAAAGAAGTCCCCACTTTAACTAATCCTGTTAGATTGCTTACAGCCAGATTAACATCTCAACCATGAAACAAAATCTGCCATTGCAACATATGCACCGAATTTGCAGTGCAATGTGTGCCTAGACTAAGTGCAGTTTGAGTGAACCAATAAAGTAGTTTGACTGCTATTGATTAGGCTAACTTTTGCCAATAGCCATACTTATGGGTCAGGGAGTGATGGGGAAATTGGTTAGGATTCCAACTGTATGCTACCTAGTGATCCCTGCTGGAAGTAGATGAGTGGGTGTTGGGTAAGAATAAAATTAGGCTTCAGAAGGATGTTACAGATATATTGGGAATTAAACCTCAGATAAAATTATCAAAATTTTATTTGAAGAGACAATGTTCTGACGATTGTGTACAATTCCCTGCATCTGCATTGTACATTTACCTGATTCAGATTTTAGATAAAACTTATTGAATTGAGTTTAATAATTATTGGTTGGATATTTATTTGTTTTAATTAATAACTTTTAGTATTGGATATGCATGTTATTGAATTTTTCATTTAAATATTAATATTACCAGCTCCTGTGTTCACACAACATTATGGGTGTTAACATTAATTTCAGAGTATTCTGGTATGCTCAAAACTTACATTAATAACTCTTATCATGCTTTAGATATGTTTGAAATGGAAGATGAATCCTCTGCTGTACCTGCAACAGAGGAAGATGACAAAGCATCAGGAGATATTGTTGATGCAAAGCCAGACAGATCATCAAGATTCCTAAATTTCAAGTAAGTTTTAAATTTAAAAGCGGTAAACTTGACTTCATCTACGTTTCACTGCACTTTGTGAAATGCATCATTTGATGCATGTACATGCTAGTCTGGTGTCTGGCATTCAGAGATCTCTGGCTATGTCTCTCTGATGCTGCACAGATGCTGACATCTAGTTGGCTTCTCTGGCTTACCTCAGATTATTCAAAATTCAGAGTTCAAATAGGATAATTTAAATCCTGACAACAGGGTTACAAATTGTTTGATATAAACTTTATTAGGCACTGTATGTTTGCCATGAGTGATAAATTGAGTTGTTAATTCAAGATTTCTACTCTTTGAAGTTTCACCGATTTTACATAAGAACATAAGAACTAGGAGCAGGAGTAGGCCATCCGGCCCCTCGAGCCTGCCCCGCCATTCAATAAGATCATGGCTGATCTTTTTGAGACTCAGCTCCACTTACCCGCCCATTCACCATAACCCTTAATTCCCTTACTGTTCAAAAATTTATCCAGCCTTGCCTTAAACACATTCAGCGAGATAGCTTCAACCACTTCACTGGGCAGGGAATTCCACAGATTCACAACCCTTTGGGTGAAGAAGTTCCTCCTGACCTCAGTCCTACATCTGCTTCCCTTTATTTTGAGGCTAAGCCCCCTAGTCCTAGTTTCACCTGCTAGCGGAAACAACCTCCCTGCCTCCACCTTATCTGTTCCCTTCATAATCTTATATGTTTCTATAAGATCTCCCCTCATTCTTCTGAATTCCAATGAGTATAATCCCAGTTTACTCAGTCTCTCCTCATAATCCAACGCTGTCAACTCTGGAATCAACTGAGTGAATCTGCTCTGCACCCCCTCCAGTGCTAGTATATCCCTCCTCAAGTAAGGAGACCAAAACTGCACACAGTACTCCAGTTGTGGCCTCACCAGGACCCTATACAGCTGCAGCATAGCATCCCTGTTTTTAAACTCCATCCCTCTAGCAATAACAGACAAAATTCCATTTGCCTTTTTAATTACCTGCTGCACCTGCAATCCTACTTTTAACGATTCATGCACAAGGACATCCAAGTCCCTCTGCACAGCAGCGTGCTGCAATTTTTTACCATTTAAAACATAGTCCATTTTGCTGTTATTTCTATCAAAATGGATGACCTCACACTTATCAACATTGTACTCCATCTGCCAGACCTTTGCCCACTCACTTAGACGATCTATATCCCTCTGCAGACTTTCAGTGTCTTCTGCACACTTTGCTGTACCACTCATCTTAGTGTCATTTGCAAATTTTGACACACCACACTTAGTCCCCAACTCCAAATCGTCTGTGTAAATAATGTAAACAATTGCGGTCCCAACACTGATCCCTGAGGCACACCACTAGCCACTGACCGCCAACCAGAAAAACACCCATTTACCCCTACTCTTTGCTTTCTACTAGTCAACCAATCCTCTATCCATGCCAATACATTACCTGTGATACTGTGCAACTTTATCTTATGTAGCAGCCTTTGGTGTGGCACCTTGTCATATGCCTTCTGGAAATCCAGATACACTACATCCACAGGTTCCCCATTGTCCACCATGCAAGTAATATCCTCAAAGAATTCCACCAAATTAGTTAAACATGACCTACCCTTCATGAACCCATACTGGGTGTTCCCAATGGGAGAATTTGTATCTAGATGTCTTACTATTTCTTACTTAATGTTAGCCTCAAGCATTTTCCTCACTACCAAAGTTAAGCTAACTGGCCTATAGTTACCTGCTTTTTGTCTACTTCCTTTTTTAAACAGTGGAGTCACGTTGGCACATTCCAATCTGCGGGAACCACCCCAGAGTCCAGTGAATTTTGGTACATAATTACTAGTGCATTTGCTATTTCCCCCATCACCTCTTTTAGTACCCTGGGATGCATTTCATCAGGGCCAGGAGACTTGTTTACCTTTAGCCCCATTAGCTTGCCCAGCACTGCCTCCTTAGTGATAATGATAGTTTCTAGGTCCTCGTCCTGCTCCTCTGATGCAGCTTGGCCTGCTGTGCTCATCAGCAAGCTCTCCACCTTGTTATCTCAGATTCTCCAGCATCTGCAGTTCCTACTATCTCGATAACCTTCTTGCCATCAGTTTTCAGCATGTTATTTGTGTCTTCCACTGTGAAGACCGACACAAAATAACTGTTTAATGCCTCGGCTATTTCCTCATTCCCAGTTATTAAATTGGCCTTCTCATCCTCTAAAGGACCAATGTTTACCTTCAACACTCTTTTATGATTTACATATTTATAGAAGCTTTTGCTGCCTGTTTTTATATTTTGAGCTCGTTTACTCTCATAATCTATCTTACTTTTCTTTATAACTTTTTCTGTGGCCCTCTGTTGGCCTTTAAAGATTTCCCAATCTACTAGTTTCCCACTAATCTTTGCTTTTTTGTATGTATTTTTTTTTAATCTGATACTTTTTTCTGAAAGACTTATTTCATTAATCTGGTTTTTCTCTCTACAAACATTGTCAGACCTGTTGAATTTCTCCAGCACTTTGAATCATAGAATCATAGACTACACAAGAGTCCCTACAGCCAATCAATTCTGTATTGCCAAAACTACACTAAATCTACACTAGTACTGCTTTCCAGCACTTGGCTCATAGCCTTGAAAGTTATAACATTTCAAGTCCTCATCCAAGTATTTTTTAACATTTATGAGGTTACCCACCTTGACTACCCTCCCAGGCAGGGGGTCCAGATCCTTCTCGGTGATAAGGAGTTTCCTCAAATCCCAGCTAAATCTTCTGCATTTCACCTTAAAAGTGTATCCCTTTGTTATTGATTCTTCAACTGAGGGAACAAGCTGCTTTCTATTTGCTCTATTCATGCCCCTTATAATCTTATAAACCTCTACCAGGACCTCCCTCAACCTCCTCCGCTCCAAAGAAAGCAACCTGGGCTTATCCAGCTTCTCTTCATAGCTAAACTGCTCTATCCCAGGCACTATCCTGGTGAATCTCCTCTACACACCCATCAGTGCAATCGCATCCTTCCTATCACGTGTTGACCAGAACTGCACACTGTACTCCAGCTGTGCCCTAACCAAAGTTTTGTACAGCTTCAACATAACCACCTGGTATCATAATCTACACCTCAACTTATAGAGACAAGTATCCCATATGCCTTCTTAACCACCCTACTAACCCGCCTTGCCACCTTCAGGGATTTGCGGACAAGCACACAAGATCCCTCTTTTTCTCCTGAATTTTCTACAGAATCTACTGGATTTTGCTTTATTTATTACTGAGTTTCTTTATTTACCTCTGCTATGTTGCCAAGCCAAAAAACTGAGTGTGTAAAAGGTTGCTGAACTGAAGTGGGTGACAAATTCAGAAGGAGTTCATTCAGCCAATTGTGCTGGTGCCAATTTATTACTCTGGGAAATTCAAAACTAATCCTGTTTCCCTGCTCTCTCTTCCCATGGCTGGATGTCTTCCCCAGTTTCAAATATTTGTCCAGTTTTTCTTTCTTTAAGGGATATGATAGCCTCAGTCATAACTCCCCTCTATTGCAAAACCTTCTCTAACAATGTTTTTTGCCCTGCAGTTGAAATAGTCCTACTTATCTTAATTCTCTCTCACCTATAATTTTAGTATCCTTGATATCATCCTCTCTTTGTATTGCTTTAATGTCCATTACTGCTTGTAAAAGCTCCTAGGCGAGGATTTTCCAGAGGCAACAGGTAGGCAATGGCCTAGTGGTATTGTCACTAGCGTACTAACCCAGGTCCCCAGAACTGTACCTGGATCCCTGGGTTTGAGTCTCACCATTGGCTGATAGGATCCCCTTTAGACAACGAAACTGCCATTCTTGCCAGGCCTATGTGTGATTCCAGTCCCACAACAGTGTGGTTGACCCTTAGCTGACCTCTGGGCAATTAGGAATGCACGATAGAAGCCAACTAGCAATGTCCTCATTCTACAGAAGAATAAAAAAAGGGTCCTGACATCAGACAAAAGTGGAGTATGTGAGGAGTGGGAATGCTGCTGGATTGTAATGAATTTTAAAACTACAAGCATTTGGAATTCATATTACAAACAAAAAAAGCTTGTCAGAACAAAAAAAAGCATATTTTGACTACATTTTTTTAGAAGCTAGGCTGGATGATTATTATTGGAATGTATCATTAGAAATTGGAGCAATGCATCTGCATTCTCATGTACATGAGACTTGTGCCTTCAAAATCACCAATTAGAAATCTGTAGTCACATTTTACATTTTTAAGTCCTGTTGCCTTCTCCAGAATGCCTCATTGCTTTTGTATTTTCACTGTCACATTTTGTTTTTAATCCTATCCACCTTAGGCACAGTTAAAACCATTTTAAAACCTGTTAACTTTAGTCATGAGAACATAAGAAATAGGTGCAGAAGTTGGCCATTTTGAGCTTTGAGCCTGCTCCACCATTCAATGAGTTCACGTCTGTCTTGTTCCGTTTAGCTCCAACCAGCAAGGTCACATTGTAGAAAATTATCCGTACTCTGATATGTGCATTGAACAATCATTCACAAGATGTGGGAGAGTTTTTGAATTCCTTTTTCACTGCTAATTATGACCTTTTTTATTAACTTGTGACATATTGACCACTCTCCAGAATAGGACATGTTTGACACAATGTACCCTGTCTATGGTCAGCTTTTAGACCGATTAGTAAATTATGTATGAATGGATTAAGCCAGAGTGGCCGTGTCTTTCTGATGCAGAGGCCAAAGACGATTAAACAAATTGCACACTACACAATATATACGTATCTATCCCTGCACTGAGCCAAATTGAGTGAGGACACTTCGTCTGGAATGACTTCTTGGATGTTTTGCTTCATCTGAGACAATTGCCCATTTCAGCCACATGACTTTGTCTCATTTTCCTCTGATGCCTGAAAAATTGACAAATTTAATTGCTGTAATGTGAAAGTATACCTCTTAACCTGATTTGGCCTTTTTAAGTTGTTAATTTTGCTGCAAATTGTAC